AAACGTCAACTCTAAATGGATCAGACTTCAATATAAATCCTGAAACTTGGAAGCTGCTAGAAGAAAACATAGGCAGCATCCTCCAAGATATAGGTATAGGAAAGGATTTTCTAAATTGGACACCAGCTGCTCAGGCATTAAGGTCAACAATCAATAAATGGGAGCTCATTAAACTACAAAACTTCTGTACAGCAAAAGAAACAACCAAGGAAGAGAAGAGAAAACCCACTGAGTGGGAGAATATGTTTACCAATTACACATCTGACAGAGGCTTAATAACCAGAATATACAAATAACTCAAAAAACAAAGAAATAAGAAAATAAATAACCCAGTAAAAAGATGGTTAATAGACCTTAACAGAGAGATCTCAAATGAAGAAATAAAAATGGCTAAGAAGCACCTTAAAAAGTGCTTAACATCTTTAGTAATTAGAGAAATGCAGATAAAAACCAGTTTAAAATTCCATCTTGCTCCAGTCAGACTGGCTAAGATCGAGAGCATGAGACTCCAAATACTAGAGAGAATGTGGAGAAAGAGGAACACTAAGAGTTCTTAACATTTACACACAGAACATACATTTCAATGAAATCACTTCCTTTGCAATCACTGCTGTATCCAGTTTATCTCTCTCATGGAATTACTTTCAAGTTTGCACTTGGGAATTTTTCGTCCTCTAGTAATTTTTAGGAGTACAAGAAAATAAGTGGTAAGTATTTTAGTAGTGGTAATATTTTAAGTAACCAGATGCATAATGGGGGATATTTCAATTGTTTTTTACCCCCAATTACAGCTCTGTTTAGGAATTTGCTTACTGTGCACTTTTAATTGGAGGTCAAAAGACAACTCAGATGCAATCTGTTTAAAATGGATTGTATTGGGGATGGAGTGATGACTCAGCAGATAAGAGCACTGGCTCTTGTAGAGGACCCAGATTCAATTTTTGGCACCCACATGGCTGCTAACAACCATCTCTGACTCCAGTTCCAGGGGATCTTCAGACCTCCACAGGCAATGTAAAACATAGGTGCACATACCTACATGCAGGCAGCATACATGCATACACATACAATTAAAAAAAAAACCAATGTAGTAAAAAAAAAAAGTGGATTGAATTAATTTTTCTTCTCTGAGTTTTTTCTGTTTGCAGTAACATGGTAACCTAAACAAACACATAAGCCATTATCTTTGTAGAATTTATGGTCATTTTTACCCTCCTTTTGAGAAATCCTGCCACTTCTTCCCTTGCAACACCTTTTGTGTGTCTTTATTTCCTGGAACCACTCAGTAGCCCTGCTATTCAGAGCACTTTTAAGAGTTGTGCACTGACTGCTGTCACTTATTTCAGCTGCTCACACCTGCTTCTTTTCTCTAACTCTAGTCTTTGCTTCCAGTGCTCAGAAAACTAATCTTTCTTAGCACTGTGGTCATTGTACAGCCTCACAAGTTTAAAAAATTTGGAGTAATTAAAAGGTCTCCTACATTGAACAGAACCTGAATTTTGGCACTTGAAGCAAATCCTTTAAATTTGGCCAAATTTACTTCAAATCTACCTTTTCCTGATTTCCTGTGGGGAGGCATTGAGACATCTTTGTGAGCCCAGGTAAGCCACTGGCATGATTTTCAGGGAGGAGATAAAGCATTGTCTTCCTGTGAGTTCAGCACTCTAATCTGGAATGTTGTAGAAGCACAGATTTACATATCTTCCTGATATTTTCCTTGTTCTAGAAATATTAATATTAATACTATATAAGCCTTTGCTAGTGGGGCAAGAATGCTGTGCAGTCAATAGCATAGGTCTCAAGAAAATGAGGAGATTCTCCACTGTTCCACCTTTATTATAAAAATGTACACTTTTCAAATCTCTTGTATATACTTGTGTTGCTTTAGGTGCTGCATAAATAGTATTAAAAGAAAAATAATATTTCTGCAATTTTGGAGCTTAGAGGCTAATGTATGTGGGTACCCTAATGAGTGTTTATGCATTGTGAGAAGGTAGGAGAAACAATTCAATAAAAGGGCAGTTCTTAAAAAATTCATTTATTTGACAGACCAACCTTCCTATGACCCTGACAAGCATACCATACACCACTCATCAAGGAAGCTTTCTTTGGCAACATATGGAGGGTATTACAGCATTTCTCAACTGGTCACACACAGGGAATATAAGTCTGAGAGATGCCCAGCCCTAGGTGATGTATCTATGGTGGAACTTCTATACTTAAGGCTCATGGAACATAGTAAGCAAGTAGAGAGAATACTATTGCATTGGTCACCTTTCACTAGGGAAGCTTCCTTATACAACAGAGTGAAATTCACACAAAAGGCCACAACTAGATAAATTTTAGAGAATAAGAGACTGAAGAGTGTGTGTCCTTGGATAGGACTCCTATATTAAACCTCACCCACCTATGCCTCTGGGACCATTGTGGAAGAGGGGGCAGAAAGATTGTAAGAGTCAGGGTTGGTCCATGAACACAGGAAAACAGAGGCTTTCAGGCCCCTGGAAGGTATCTTATGTGAACTTGCGAAACTAGCGGAGCACAAGACCCATGCTAATTCAATCAGACAAGGGCTCAGAGTGGAGCTAGGGAAATGGGCAGCAGCCTGGCCCTAGCCTGGGAACTGTTAGAGACTAATTACTGCTGGGTGAGGAAGAGTAGACCTTCTTTAAGAACTCTAGATAGAGGCCAGGCATGGTGGCACATGCCTTTAATCCCAGCACTTGGGAGGCAGAGGCAGAGAGACCTTTGTGAGTTCGAGGCCAGCCTGGTCTGCATAGTGAGTTCCAGGACAGCTGGAGCCACAAGGAGACCCTGTCTCAAAAAGATGAAAACAAGACAAAACAAAACCCCCAAACAACATAAAAAGAACTCTAGATAGGCTGACTAGGCTCCAGTGAATTAACTTGCTCTGAAGGACATCTGGGTACAAATGCTTGACCAGTTAGGCCTTAACATGTATGGCAGAATTCATGAGGCCCAGTAGGTGGTATGTGTGGGACATAGATCGGGGAGTAGGTCTAGATTGGATTAAGAATTGTTTAACTAATCACCACTCTTTTTTCTCCCATCTGGCCTCTCTCCTCCTTCCCTCCCTAGTCACATACCCCCATTGTCCCCACCCTCCCACAATACCTCCCAACTCCTGCCATCTTTCCTCTCCTGACTTCCCTCCCTCCCCCACATCATGGTCCCTTGCATGTCCCTCTCTCCTCTCCTCCCTGTCGATTACTCCCACTTTTTCCACCTCCCTCAGGTACCATCTGTTCCCTACTATCCCCCTTTTCAGGTTATTTCTTGTCCTTTGCCTCCATGTATCCTTTCCCTTTCCCTGGCTCCCAGTGTATCATCAGAGTTTATATACTCACGTATAAGGGATTTGGTGCTACAATCCACAAATGAAGGAGGACATACATCACTTGCTTTTCTGCGTTTGTGTTACTTCACTTAGTGTAACACTCTCTAGCTCCATCCATTTATCAGCAAATTTCAAATCTATTCTTACTACTGAGTAGAAATCCATTGAGTAGATGTACCACATTTTCATTAACCATTCACCAGTTGAGGGCCTGTTACAGCAATGGTGCCTAGCATGGGACCCATGTCAGCTCAATTAAACAAGGACCCAAAGGGGTGGTGAGAAATAGGTGGTGGACCATCACTAGATTGAGAACTATTTCAGACTGATTGCTGCTGGGCGAGGGAGAGTATGACTTAACATACAACCACTGACTAGACTCTAGTGGACGCATTTATACTGAAGGACATTTGGGTACAAATACCTGAATGAATAGGACTCAGCACGTATGGCAGAGTGCATAGGGTTTGGGGCGGGGATGAGGGGAGTCATGGATAGGGAAGGGGGTCTGGATTTGAGTGGGAAATATATGAAATTTCAAAAGCTCAATAAAAAAGATTTGTATGACATGAACAAAAGCTCAATAAAATTTTTAAAAAGAAAAAAAATATTTTTATTTTATGTGTTTTGCCTCCATGTTTGTAAGTGTGTCTGTGTTGTGCAAAGACCTACAGAGCCCAGAAAAGGGTGTTAGATCCCCTGGACCTGGAGTTATGGATGTGGGTGCCGGGAATCAAATCCAGGTCCTCTGGAAGAACACCCAGTGCTCTTGACTGTTAAGCCATCTCTCTAGTCCAAAGGTGTAGTGTTTTATAGGTCCTATATAATTATATAGGGATAGATGTTATAGATACATGAAAGGTTACCTTACTGGGCTGTATACACAGGATACCTAATTACTTTTAATTTAAAATCCTGGTCTCTAGAGAAAACATTGGGGAAAGCATAGATGTTTTTTAAAATCAAGTCCCAAGGATTTTCCAACTCAACAAACCTCTTGGGCCATATTATCAGGTAGATGCTATTTACCAACCTCTGGCTTGAGAGGACACTCGGGTCAAAACCACCAGAAATCATGATCTGCTACTCATGGTGTCTCTCAGAACTTGGAGGAGAGAGGTGAGGGATGAAATAGTATAAAAAATTAGAAGTGAGCTTTCTTCATTCCTGTGTAGTTATTCCCTAAAATTTATCAAAGATATTTTCCCCTGAAACACAACAGGGGAGAAGAATTTACCTGTTCCTTTCCTGAAGTGGGAATGCTCAAAGGTGAGTGTTTAATTGTATGTAATGCATTCTGCTAGTCCATATCTCTCCAAGGGACTCGGAGAGCCCTTCACATGCCTCCTCCTTCTGTGAGACAACCACTGAGCTTGAGAATAGAGGTGTGTTGTCAAGACAGAAGTGGCTCAGATATGATACAGGGCAAGAATCACCATTAGCACTGGAAATGAAATTGTCTTTGGTATTTATATGTTCTTCCAATTACATAAAATGAAGAATAACAAAAGGGTTTGAAAGGTAGAGCCAGAGATCACTATCAAATCTTGCCCTCAATCTCATTATACTGGGTAAGTTGGAGAAAGCTGGGATCTCATCTTAATGTTTCTGTTTTTCTCATCCTCACAGTAAGACCTGGGGAAGAATGGCCTCAGACAATGACTCCACTGTGAAGGAGTTTATCCTGCTGGGATTAACACAGCAGCCAGAGCTCCAGCTGCCTCTCTTCTTCCTCTTCCTGGGAGTCTATGTGGTCTCCGTGCTGGGGAACCTGGGCTTGATTGTTCTGATTGTTTTGAATCCTCACTTGCACACTCCTATGTACTACTTTCTCTTCAACCTTTCCTTAACAGATCTCTGCTACTCCTCTGTCATAACTCCCAAAATGCTGGTGAGTTTTGTGACACAGAACCTCATCTCCCATGCTGAGTGCATGGCTCAGCTCTTTTTCTTTGCCTTCTTTGTTATTGATGAGTGTTTTATTTTGACATCAATGGCCTATGACCGATACGTGGCCATCTGTCATCCTCTGCTTTACAAGGTCACCATGTCCCCTCAGGTCTGCTTTGTGCTCATGGTGGGAGGGTATGTGATGGGTTTTATGGGTGCCATTGCCCACACCATTTGCATGTTGAGAGTCACCTTCTGTGATGGCAACATCATCAATCACTACATGTGTGACATTCCACCTCTCCTGAAGCTCTCCTGCACAAGCACCTCCATCAACGAGCTGGTGGTTTTCATTGTGGTGGGTGTCAGTGTGATAGTGCCCAGTCTCACCATCTTTGTTTCTTACACCTTTATTCTCTCCAACATCTTCAGCATGCATTCTACAAAGGGCAGGTCCAAGGCCCTCAGCACCTGCAGTTCCCACATGATTGCTGTTTCTCTGTTCTTTGGATCATCATCGTTCATATATTTTAAATCCTCTCCTGCTGGGTCTGTGGATCAAGATAAAATATCGACAGTTTTTTATACTGTTATGGTTCCCATGATGAATCCCTTCATCTATAGTTTGAGGAACAAAGATGTTAAACTTGCGCTGAGTAGGACTTTGAAGAAAATGGTCCTCACTTAAATAGAAGAGATATTAATTTTAAATGTTAAGAAAGTATGGACAAAAACATAATGCTTAAATGTATGAAGTGAAGATTAATTACTGTAATAACATGCAAATGGTTTATATAATAGAGAAAATTAAGTGAATTACGGAAATGATTTCTTAAGCACAGACAGAAGTAAGAAGAGGGTCATGGAATTCTGTCAGAGAGAGCAGAGAAGTAGTTCATTGTATAGATCATTTCTAGAGATCAAAAGATTTTAAGAAGGCCTGATTAAGTCCAGAAATTGTAACAATTTGTGACTTATGAAGCATAATTTTCTAGAATTTTAGTGTAGCTGTGTCATGGAGATGACTTTTGGATAATTACTTACATATTCACTGAGTATATCTCTATTCAGCATTGTAGAATATTTTTCGGTGTGTGTGTGGGGGGGGTAAGATTCCCTTTTTCTCAAAAGGACTGAAGCATGTAAGTATGCTCTTGTTTCAGTGTCTGCTCCCTCCTGCCTTCATTTCTAAGAAAATGTGGTACAGGAAGGCCAAAGATTTTCCTTGCTCCTAGTTCCACAGTACAGGGAATTGGAATAACTATTTAGAGCAGCCAGGATGAAGGGAAGTTCCTTTGGAATTTGCCTTTTGGACAGGAGGACAGGATTGTGAGTGTGAGGACACATCAAGTCTGCAATGGGAAGAAGCTTAACTACAAATGTTTATAGCAGAATTTTGGTCCTTTTAATTCATTAGTATTCTGCATTTTCCTATCCTTACTCATTTTTATTCTTATTTTTGTCTCAGAAGTTCAAATGCTGTAAATGTATTTGTTTAATCAACACATATAAACTGAGCATCTATCCTGTCCCATGCTGTTTCTAAAAATCAAAGATATTGGGGTGAAGAGGACAATAACTATTCCTGTTCTCCAAAGGCTAATTGATTACAGTAAGATAGACATCTGATATACCTGAGTCAGAAAAGACGATGAATGAAGCATAAATGATAGAGATGGATATATCAGAGTAGTGCCATAGAAAGTCTTCTATTTTGGAGATAATACAGAGAATAACTATGTGTTTATTTTTTGTTGGCTGATCAGGAAGGGCTTTTCTGAGGAGGGGATACAACCGGAGTTCACTGGCATGACACCCCCTGCCCCCCAGAGCATTCCCTGCAAAAGGAAGAGCAGAGCAGAATCTCTGAGTCAGAAACAATCTTAAGGGTTATGAGGGGTGGGAAACATATGATTGTGGCTCTGGAGTAGTAGAAGAAAGGTAAGGCATAGGGTGTGTGTGTGAAATGAAGGGAAAAAAACTGGGGAGTGAGGTTCATTTGAGCCTTTTTAAAGGAATAAAATTGTCCATGCATTATTGGTTGATTCTGTAGTGCTAGGGATCAAACCCAAAGCTTTGCACATGCTAGTGTCCTACCACCAAGCTGCATCTGTAGCCTCTGAATACTACTAAAACACAGTAGAAATTCAAATAATGCTAGTCACACAAAGGACTTAGCTCTTCTCTATCTTAATTTTTTCAACCAGGATCATGCTATTGCTCAAGATAACCTTGATCTCCTGGGCTCAAGCAATCCTTTGGAATCCATTTCCAGAGTAGACAGGATTACAACCTGTTGGGGACTCCTGCTGTGTAAAGTAGCAGTTTCTCCATGTCCGGAAAGCCCACGGGCTCGGATTCAAATGCAGAGACTCCTTTTTCAGCAGGGTGCCTTCCCGGCATCTTCCTGACTCATCTTTTGAAGCAGCCATCACAGAAACATGGCCTCAGGCTCTGGAAACTGCCAGCTTTTCCTATGTGATTTTCAGGCAGTCTGGCAGCCTGGCAGGAGCTCACCGCCACATGTCAATGGGGCATCCTAAAAGTACCTATCAGCTAAGGTTTTTGCTACCACCCCCATAGTATAAATATCCTGGTTTCCCCTCAATAATTGGAGCTGGATCACCAAGACTTGGAGCCAAGCAGAGTCAGGAGAATAAAGTAGCTGTATCACTGAGATCAGAGCTGAGTCCTGTGTCTTACTGCCTACCATCCAGTCTCCCTGTGGGGGGGCGCTATCCTTCCGTCATCGACTCACGGAAACCCAGCTTTAGCTGCCCTGCACCTTCCCGCGAGATCCAGTGGCCGGTGGATTTCGCATCTTGAGGAAGTGCATGGATTTCGCATCTCGAGGAAGTGCATGGGTGAAATTAGGGCAGAACTCGACCCGGCCAGCTCCGGTAGCAGAGGGACCAACAGCGGAGAAGCAGGGGCCAGCCAGCAACGCAGAGCAGACATGCTGCGGGACCCGCCGCCTTCCAGGTGCGCGCAGGGGACCGGCGCCAAGCTAGCAGCTGGCCCCGGGGATCCCTCCGCACCCCATAACAACCTTCCTCCTATGTTTTGAAACCCTTTCTATGTTCATCTAAAATAAATTCTGGAACTTTTAGGAGCAGTTTGTAGCTAAATGAAGCAATATGCTTTAAGAAACATCAAATTGCTATATCCTGCAGGAGGAGTAATAATTTTTTGCTAAGTCAATTTTTTTTTTGTCTTTTTGTTGGGGGGATCACTCTGTAACCCCAGCTAGCTTGGAACTCACTATGTGGGCCAGACTGGCCTCCATTTCAAAGAGATCTGCTTGCCTCCTGAGTGCTGGGCTTAAAGGCATGAGCCACCACACCCAGCTTTTTTGCTGATTTGTATACCTGAGAGATGAGTTGGGGGTTTAGCAACTGAAACAGGAACAAAAGATTGATGGAAATACCTTTGCTCCTGTCTTTTTATTTTTTACAAATATTTAAAAGTAGGAAGACTAATGTTTGGATCATGTGGTCTGGTTTTAGTTTAAGATCCTACAATTTTTCTAAATTATTTTCTCTTAGTCTTAGAGTTTTCATGTATAATATATGAAGTACCTCATCATATATAGCATTTAGAGATAGGCTTCTAGGCAGGTGATAAGATAAAATGAGGCCTGTAGCATGACCCCCCATTCAGCCTGATTAGTGTCCCCTTAAGTAGAGGAAGTAAGGACTGGGGAGCTGGCTCAGTTGTTTAGGTGCTAACTGGGCAAGTGTGAGGACCTGATTCTGAATCCTCAGAACCTACATGAAGCTGAGTGTGGCAGTGTACACCTATAGTCCTAGTGCTTCTGTGGCCAGATGAAAGGCAGAGATAAAATCCCTGGAGGCTGGATGGTAGGTGACATCACAGCTATGAGCCCAAAGAGATCTGTCTCAAACAAAGTGGAATGTGACAACCTGAGATTGCTCTCTGACCTCCACATTCATGCTATGGTCCATGTATGTGTTAACACTCATATAATGCACACATGCAAAAAAAAGTAAGAGGAAATAAGTATACACAGAGGAAGCAGACGTGTACCGGAAAAATGTACCAGGGCTCCCTTAAAATTAGGGTTTTAAAGAAACCTTAATATACCCCCATCTAATGTTCATTCCCAACCTTTATCCTGCAACTTTGTTTGTAAGTTATTTTCCTACTTTTTAGGCAGTCTTGTCAAGGTGAAAACACAAGCTCAGTACACACTCCCTATCCTTCCCAGAGTCCTGGCCCCTACTGCCATGAGGGTGCAGTTTTCCAAAAGAGATTCACTACACAGCTCTCTCAGCTGACCTGGGCCAACAGCCTGGCTGAGTCTACCTAAAATTATGTATATATTTCAAGGGTTTGGTTCAACCTAAGTGCTCCCTCTATAAATTTAAGTGCTTCTGTGGGTTCCCAAAAGGAAGAATAGTTATCTTCCTCAGTTGTTCAAATTGAGAATAAACTCATTTCCCTCTTTTGTGTAAATTTTGACTTATCAACTGGGAGAGATTGTCAGCTCTAGTGAGTAAACAATCCATGATTCAGGCCCCTGGCCAGGACATAGTATCATAACCAGATGAAGACACGATGAGAGGACAGTCAGTCTCATGAAAAAACAAACTTGCAATCTTTGGTCTTTTCCTTCCTGTCTCCAAACATGAGAAAAAATATAACCCCTCTGTTCTTTAAATCATCCAGTCTATAACATTTTGTTATGGCATCCCTAAGCAATGCATTTGTAGAGTACATTTTCTTTCTTTTTTATTTTTTTCCTTAAGAGCCTACAATACTGAAGTAAATGTTAAGAAACAGAGAAAAAAACTGAAGCAGAAATCCTGGCTTTCAAACTTTGGAAGAATTAGATTTCAGTTAAAGAAAGACTTTCTGTCTATAAACTCATTCCCAGTTGAAGAGAAATTACTCCCTTGAAGGGTTAGACCATAAACAAACCTCAATCATTTCTATGGCTCAGTTGGTTAGTGTGTTCTGCTGCCAACTGAAAGGTTGGTACTTCAGTCCGACCTGGGATGCTAGATCTTGGCTTTTGAGAGCTCCCCAGATAAACAGCTATTGGTGGCAGACTGAAAAACTTAAAAAAGAGCATATTCTCATTTGATAACCTGTCCCTTCATCTGTGATACCTTTGCTGAACTGTGTACTCCTACAGCAGCTGCAGAAAAGTGCCTTCAGAACTGTGTGATTCAGATTTCTGAAATGTGAAAAACCTAATCTGGCCTATCAGATTAATTAATTAAATAATTAATTTATTTATTTAGGGGATGGAGAGATGACTCAGAATTTAGAGCACTTGCTGCTCTTGCAAAGGACCCAGGTTCCATCTCCAGCACCCACAACTGTGGACTCACGAGTACCTGCAACTTCAGTTTCAGGAGTTAGGATACCCTTTTTTGTCCTCTACTGTCACATGCATGTGCATGATACACACATACATACATACATGCACACACTCAGGTACACACACATGTAAAATAAAAATAGATAAATCCTTTTTAAAAGGCGAAAAAACCCTCAAAATCTTTGGAGAGAATTATGAAAGAATTTATTAGAATTTCTAAATCTATAAACAGATTTTTTAAAATAAATAATTTACTTCATTATTTAAAGGAAATAGGAGGAATTTTATTGGTTATTATATTTTGAAAGTATAACGTTATTTTCTTTGAGAGATGGGAATAT